TGGCGCCTTAGCCGCTTGAGCCATAGGCGCCGAGCCACTGCTTTGGTTTTTAATGTCTGGTCCATGTTTTATTCCCGTGACCACTGTAGAGTACAAATTCCTTGGAAGGACCTGATTTTATTCATAGAAATATTGAATGTAAGAGCTAATCAAGAATTCTGGAGATCATATTAATCAAACTTTTCACACAGCAACCTCCAACTACTGGGCTTAGGCGATTTTGTTGCCTCAGCCTCCTGAGTAGCTGGGACTACAGGCGCCCGCCACAAAGCCCGGCTATTTTGTTTGTTTGTTTGCAGTTTGGCTGGGGCCGGGTTCCAACCAGCCACCGTTGACATATGGGGCCGGCTCCCCACTCACTGAGCCACAGGTGCCGCCCAAACCTTTCACTTTTATCAAAGGAGTATTAAGCATTTACTGAACGCGTTACAGTTCATAAGGGTCTTTCCCAGACACCCAATTAGTTATATTAATTCCTCACATTAAGTTGGTTAGAGAAACATCGTTATCCCATTTTACAAATGGGAAAATTAAACCCCAAAATATTTTACTCACAGGGAAAAGTGATTTACTCAGAGCAGGTCCAAGAATACAATCCAGCGTCCGGCTTCATTCATTGTTCCTTCTACTACATCCCAGCTGCCTCTGGTTTCCTTCACAGCACTTAGCTTCATAATCAATAATCGGTGAACTAAAGGACTCAAAAACATTGTCAGGTATTGACCACATCTCAAACAAAGCAAATAGGCCGATGGCTAGGAATGCACAGCTCTACAAGCATCTTTAGCCCTTCTTTCTCCGGTTGTCAGCATCTTTCCCTCCAGCGACCTGCTCTCTACCTGAGCAGGCGGGGTCCCCACAGAAACGGGGATGCGCGCGGCCCCTTTAAGACTGCGGGCGGCGCGTGCCCACAGTCTTTTCAAATGGACCAATGAAAGGCTGATGGGCGGTTCGTCGAGGACCAGTAAAAAAAGAGGACACTGCGGGGTGTGCGGCGGCCCAAGCGGTTTCAAACGGCTTAGAGAAGGCCCTTCGGTTCTCACCCGGCGGAGGTGAGTGGTCGGTGGGCCTGACCCACACGCAAGGCCCTCGGGTCCGGGTGTCGCGCGCGCAGTTTCCCTTAACCCCAGGGGGGAGGGGGGAGCCTCCGGACGCGCGCCTTCCTTGCCCTACGAACCCGGCAGGTCTGAGGCGGCGAAGCGGGGCGGAGGCCGGTGGACCTGCGGCGGACGGGGCGGGGGGCGTGGGCGCTCGTGTGCGGCGGGGCTGGAGGTGGGCTCCGGATGAGCAGAACGCGGCAGCGGGGCTGGAGTGGCAGTGTATGGGGGACGCAGGCGGTGCAGGGCCGCGCCTGGTGGCTGAGGTGTTCCGGGTGCTGGGCGGGGACCGCGAGAGCCGGCTCTGCTTCAGTGGCCCTCGTGTAATTGTCAAATGAATGAATAAGTAAGAGCTGTGCTGGTTGTGAAGGGCCTTCCTTGTCTCCTCCGAACGTGACTGGGACAGCGGTATCGGGGCCTGCCCGCACACCTGTGTCCCTTCCTGCTTGCTGCGATTTTAATAATTCGGTCATTCACTACTCCGCCCTACCGCCTGGCTTTCTCTCTCTCTCTGTCTAAGGGTGTCAATAGAGTTCAAGTGTTTTTCCAGCTCTGAAGGTTTGGGGGACCAATACAATAGCCAGTAGCATCGGTTAAGCAGGCCTTGCTGCTTGAAGGCGGGGCTCAGTGAACTAGATTTTTACTTTTTAGTTCTCGTCAGCTCGCTAAGATAGCTACTTGCAATCGTGGTAATTGTCAGGCGGGATTTAAAAGCATTCCGTTTTGTTTCTTGGATAGAAAATGATGAAAGTGATATTGCTAGAATGGCTGTGTGTTAGAAAGTATATTCATGTTGGTGAATCTTAACAATGAGTTTTTCATTCAACATCAGTAGAAGGTGGAATGGTTTTTGCAGAACTTGCCCCAAATTTACACATGGCTCTAATTTAATGCTCATGAGACCAAAGCATTAAAATCTTGGCCCAGAAATGCTGTCCGTCTTATATTATGCATAATTATAGTAATTGAAAACTCATTTTTATAAAGGTGAGCTCCTCCTTTCTCCATTTTCATCACCCTGAAAAGTCCTTCTTTGACCTAAAGAGCTAATAAATTAAGCTAACAATCTTTTGAAACTTTTTTTTTTTTTGAGACTTTTTTCTCTTTTTCTCTTTTGTGGACTCCTGTGATCCTCTTGCCTCAGACTCCCAACTAGCTGGCACTACAGGCGCCTGCCACAACGCCCGGCTATTTTTTAGAGGCAAGGTCTTGCTCTTCTCAGGCTGGTCTTGAACCTGTGAGTTTAGGCAGTCCACCTGCCTCAGCCTCCCAGAGTGCTAGGATTACAGGCGTGAGTGACTGCACCCAGCCCTCTTTTAAGAAGTTGTAAAAGATTTCTACTACTACTTAGACTGTAACGTTTTTATAAGATTTAATTATATAGGGCCGGGTGCCTTGGCTCACGCCTGTAATCCTAGCACTCTGGAAGGCCAAAGCGGGTAGATTGCCTGAGCTCACAGGTTAGAGACCTCTTCTCTAGAAACAGCTGGGCATTGTGGGGCGCCTGTAGTCACAACTACCCTGGAGGCTGAGACAAGAGAATCTCTTGAGCCCAAGAGTTTGGGGTTGCTGTGAGCAACCTCCCTGCACTCTGCTAAGGATGACAAAGTGAAACTCTTGTCTCAAAAAAAAAATTTTTTTAATGATATAGATAAAGGCAAAATCAACTTATTTTGCTAGGATATATTAAATCTAGTTGGTAAATTTATTAGAACAAAAATTTTTTTTTGCAGTTTTTGGTCAGGGCTGGGTTTGAACCCACGACCTCTGGCATATGGGGCCGGTGCCCTACTCCTTTGAGCCACAGGCGCTGCCCTAGAACAAATTTTTAAGGGCTGTGCAATAAGGCAGTGGTAAACAAAGGTATTCTATAACAGCATGCCTTGTTTCTTATTCTCTATAAAGGTTTTTATTATTTTTTTATTAAATCATAACTGTACCTTGATGCATTTATGGGGTTCAGTGTACTGCTTGGTTTTGATCATCAACTCTGAATTACGAACAGTGGTGTGTGGTAATTGCATCACAGAGTCCTCTAAAACTGACAATCCAATTTTAGTAGCAGTTTTGTTTTTCTTTTACCAGTTTATTATTATTACAAAGGCTACACATGAAGAGATGCATAAGGCAATGTATGAGAGAAGGAGTATGGAGCTGTTATGCCTTTCCATTAAGCATATTCTAATATATCACCTCTCCTATAAACTTAATTCCATTGACTTTCAATTTTTGTAACTGTATCCTCCATTAGGACTTTATCAATAGTTTTTTGTTTTAAGATATTAGGTAGGGGAAGTGTTCCTCAGCTATTACCATAAAACACTTAGGTAAAGGAGACACAACTTCTTTTTTTTTTTTTTGAGACAGCCTCAAGCTATTCCCCTGGGTAGAGTGCTGTGGCATCATAGCTCACAGCAACCTCCAACTCCTGGGCTCAAGCGAGTCTCCTGCCTCTGCCTCCCAAGTAGCTGAGACCACAGGCGCCCGCCACAACGCCTGGCTATTTTTTGGTTGCAGCCATCATTGTTGTTTGGCAGGCCCCGGCTGGATTTGAACCTGCCACCTTAGGTGTATGTGGCTGGTGCCTTAGCCACTTGAGCCACAGGCGCCAAACCTCAATCTTAATTATAGACCTCTTAAGGGCTTCACCAATGGATCTTGGTACCTTTTTGTTTGAGGCTCCTATATCAAGTAGTCCCAGGAATTTCTCTTTACTACCTAACCTTTTTACCCTCTTTCGTTTATAGGCTTTGGATCCCCAGCAGGGAATATTGCCTAGAAACCTTTGCTTATTTGTCAATCTTCACCTTTTTCTTTTCTCTTTTTTTCTTTCTTTTCTTTTTTTTGAAACAGAGTCTCAAGCTGTCTCCTTGGGTAGAGTGCTGTGACATCACAGTAAGGTTATTTGGGGTATCCACATTAAGGGGTCATCCTTATCCACAGCAATTACCATGATGTGGGTAATAGACATATTCAGTGAGTGAATATCTCAATTACCATAAAGCCAGTCCTACCTGGCTTGCATGAGAAGTATATCAGTTGCTTCATTTGGGTGTTGGCACTTGACATTTATAGGTGGAGTCAGCTAGTCCCCCTCGGGAAGCTGATGATACCAGCCTACAATGTGAAACAGTTCCTTCACATCATATTCCCTGGTTTTAATAGTTTCTTCATTTTTTTCTTCTTGCCACTGGACTACCTGAGAGGTCTTAGAGTTACTTTTTTTTGTCCTTGTATAATTTTTCCATTGGGGAATAGCTCCTTTTTTTTTGAGAAAGAGTCTCACTATGTTACCCTTGGTAGAGTGCAGTGCCATCACAGTTCACAGCAACCTCAGACTCTTGGGTGTAAGCGATTCTCTTGCCTCAGCCTCCAGAGTAGCTGGGACTATAGGCGCCCACCACAACGCCTGGCTGTTTTTTAGTTGCAGTTGTCATCATTGTTTAGCAGGCTCAAGCCAGATTTGAACCCACTAACCACGGTGTATGTGGCCAGGGCCTCAACCAGTGAGCTATGGGCACCAAGCGTGGGGAATAGTTTTGAGGCTGAAATCTGAGCTTGGTTTAGCCTCAAAATCCAACCCAGCATTCTCTTTTAATTTTATTTGAGCTATTACAGATAACAGCCAAAGGACTGACTGTTTCATTTTTTTCCTTTTCTTTTCTTTTCTAAAGAGACAGTCTCATTTTATCGCCCTTGGTAGAGTACTGTGGCATCACAACTCACAGCAACCTCCAACTCCTGGGCTTAGGCGATTCTCTTGCCTCAGCTTCCCAAGTAGCTGGGCCTACTGGCACCCACCAGAACATCTGGCTATTTTTTTGTTATTGTTGTTGCAGTTTGGCCAGGGCCAGATTTGAACCCACTACCCTTGGTATATGGGGTCAGTGCTCTACCCACTGAGCCCCAGGCACCGCCCATGTTTCACTTCTTTCTTACTAGCTTGCATTTCCTTATGCACACAGTAAATCAACTTCCCAGAAGTTGGATTATCTCTAAATTCCAGTGATAACTTTTACTTTTAGTAGCTGAGTATAGCATAGCAGCAGCTCTATAACACAGGACCACATGGCCACCCAGGAATCAAAGGTTCTTCATCACCCTTTTATCCTTTTTCTTCCCAAACACATGTTTCTGTGAGCAGATACTAATTCTGGAAATACAGTAATTACAAACTTATTTTACACTCTTACAACACAAAATATTCAGTGGGGTTACCCCTCTCCCCCACCAAACAAATAGTCCTTCAGCAGGGGCCACTAGCTGACTCTCCTCTAATTCAGTTCTGACATACTGTCCCTGGAAGTATTGTCAGATCCCACAAGAGAGGGCTTAGTCCCAGGAGACTGCCCCACTTCAGATGCCAGTCAAAAGTCCCAGGTTGATTTTTTTTTTTTTTTTGGAGACAGAGTCTCACTTTATTGCCCTCAGTAGAGTGCCATGGTGTCACAGCTCACAGCAACCTCCAGCTCCTGGGTTTAGGTGATTCTCTTGCCTCAGCCTCCCAAATAGCTAGGACTACAGGCACCCGCCACAATGCCCAACTATTTTTTTTTGTTGTTGTTGTTGCAGTTTGGCCAGGGCCGGGTTTGAACCCACCACCTTTGGTATATGGGTCCAGTGTCCTCCTCACTGAGCCACAGGTGCCACCCATCCCCAAGTTCTTTTTCTGTGCTTCTGACAAACTGGCTATGAATGGGAGTTCCCATGACCCCTACCTTGTATTCAATTACTTGGCCAGAGCCATTCATGAACTCAGGGAAACAAATTAATCAGTTTATAATAAAAGCTATTGCAAAGGATACAGATGAAGAGATACATAAGGTGAGATAATAAAAGTCTTTCACAGTGCCTTGGGATAGTGTTAAAAATCTTGATGAGGAATGAAAACTGTTTATTGGAGTGGAGCCAAGCTCTCTTATCCTCCTTTAATGGGGTCCCATTCATTCATTCAA